CTCGAGTTCTCTCGATCTGTTCCTTGCGTTTTGATAACTTATCTTTGACTCTTCAAATGAATCCAAAATTCAAAGGCGGATTTCAACGTCTTTGTAGCTTCTGATTACTCACAAGATCTTCAGATCCTTAAATCCTGCGTGCTTCACGAGGGTCAGGTCACATGCTGTGACTCGTTCTCGTAACGGAGAACTTTAAATGACGTTTCAAACGGAGCTCACTCGCGAAAGTCTCGTCTTGAGATAAGAGAGCTTGAGCTTGAGTTGTGTAATTTGGTAATTCGAGGATCAGAGAGAAATATATTTCTCTTCTCCTCTTTTCTCTTCCTCTGCTATTTCCACTTTTTCGTATTTTATCTAGTGACATAAAAGATATTCGACTATTTGTCCTATCTGTAAATTGGTTAAATTGTACTTGTCAAAGGGAATACAAATTCAAGCAGTTTGGTACCTTTTTAAGTCGAAAGGTACTTGCATAAATTTGCTACCTTTGTGTTTTTATAAATAAATTTGGATTTTTTTCTTTTATATACATACATGTTTTTGTGTGCATATGAGAGTATATTGCGAGATATTATAAATGTATGCTTCCCATAAAAAATTCAAGCGCAAACTCGGGTGCACGAAATGAACGTTTGCAATTGGCCTCAAAAATGTTATTCACACATTTTATACAAAATCCATTTTACACAGACTGAAAGTCGGAAATAATTCATGCGAGTTAAAATGCGTAACGTGATATACGAGGCTTCGCGATCACTATGATCACTATGATATCCAACATGCATCGTAACCCGATTATCGTGGACGAATTATTGTCCACCGAACAATTTGGAGTCGACGATGCCGCATTAATGTTGCTAATTAACTCATTTTCGTTATTGTTGTACCAATCTGTGGTATAATCGTGCCGCATCGCTTTGTATACGCTAAATTGGCACACTATTGTACAAGCAACAGCGATTCGTAGTAATCGACCCTGCTAATTTTTCTGTTCTCTTTGGTAAATCTCACGCAATAGAAACCACAACTAATTAAAAATTATCACTGAAAACAGAAGTGTTTAATTTTAAGATATTAAAATTTGTTTTGTTCTTGTCTCCATTTTTTTAAGCGCCTAAAGATGTTTTACAAAACGTTTAAACAAAACACTATGTATCTTAAATCCAAATACATAGTATTATATTTTGTTTATGAAAAAAGTTTAAAACTAAAATATCTTTAAGTGTTTGAAAAATGGTGACGAGAACAAAGTATTTTAATATCTTCAAATTAAACACTTCTTTTTCCAGCGACGTTGCCACACCTGGATTATAAAAACGGGTTTATAAAAACAAATTTGACTTTTAAAAATATTTTGTCTTTATAGAACTTGATAAAATAGGTTAATACAGAAATAAAAAATATCTTGAATCAATTTATTGCATCAAATAAAGCGGTACGAGTGAAAAAAATATGAATTTCAATTTTATTAAATTTAATATCTATTAAGAGAGAACCAAATTAAATCGATGTGCACTTTCTTTACACTCGTGCTTCAATTTAATACAACTCTCTCTTAACGTAAGCTAAATTTAATTAAATTGAAGCATATATTTTTTCATTCGTATCACTTTTTATATAAGTCCATGACGTTTAATGAATAAACGAATCTAAAATATGGAAGAGATTACACATGGGAACAAAGTTCAGGTCCCCTTGTAAATTCCCAGCGTCGCAATACCGGCCGTTGCTGCTTAGGCTTAGAAGAGATTTCGGTTAACCGAGCAAGGATTATCAGAATGCCGTGTTACGGGGGTCCAGGCTGACTAGCGGGGGATAACGAGGACCGATCAAATTCCGGGTGACGTGTTAAGCCCCGGCTTAAGGCTCTGCAGCCTTAAGAAGAGCGGATCGAAACGCTACGCTACGTATATTCACTCCGTGACCCGAAGGATATCCTGTTTGGAACACAGTTAATTCACATGTGACGAGATTAGAATAATCGAGATGCAAAAGTGTCGTATTGTATGAGCTAATTATTGTCAATTTTTCGCTTAAGCTTTCCGCACAAGAATATCTGTTACGCGTCACGTTACGTTAAGTATTGGTCGTAAACTGAAGTTAATAACTTTAGATATTAACTAGCTAAGCTCTGATAGTCCCTTACGATACATACATATGTATGTGCAAATGCAATATATTTTCAATTTATAATTATTCATGCATATTAAAAAAACATTGTATTCTGGTTAATAAATAATTAAATTTTTTGGACAACCGACACTTGAACTTTTATTTTTTCTTTTGTAGTTTAAAATGTCAACTTTAAGATATTAAAATGTATTTTTCCTTCAAACATTTTTGTTTCAAAGTTTTATATTTTTATATGAAAAAGTGCATTTTCTGTATTTTGTTAACTATATTTAATTATAACAATTTATATATAATTTATTTTAAATATACAACTATACAAATAGTTTCTAAAGATGTGAAAATATATATAAAAATCGCTTAATAATTTTTATACACTTGTAAGAGTGAGGAAAATTAATTCAGGGGCACGATTTCGTAACTGTCTTTACACGCCTATCGACAGTTGTCGGTGTCGTCGAGTAAATATTTTATATCCTGAAAAAGCTGCGACACCGATAACTGTCGGCAGGCGTGTAAAACAATTACAGAATATACATACTTGTAGATCCAGAGAATGAATGACCTAACGTGCGTGTGTAATAAGGGTGTTCAAAATTGAGATGTGTACTAAGGATTAATATTCATAAAACGAAGAGCGAAATATGCGACAGTATATACATACGCAGTAATTGTTTGAAGCACGTTCGTAGAATGCGTGAAATAAATAGCGACGTCAGCCGAGTACGCGGAACTTGGTGACGCAGCGCGACCGACGTCGTAAACATTTGCCGGCCGGCGACCTTGTTATTACTCTGGTATTCGCGCGGTGAGGTTCGAACAGGTAGGACGTAACGGCTCGGCTCGCTTGGCATATCGTGCTATCATTATTCCTCGAGCTGCGAGAGGTATACTGGGAAAAATTGAAGATGATTCTTCAATCTGTACGTTAGATACCCTACGATAAACGATTCGTGAGTTTATCATAAGAGACAAGAGTTCGGCAAGGTGAATATTTCGCGTGATTTATTCACTTGAAACGGGAAAATAAGATTACGAATAGACTTTTGTAGTATTTCTCTTTTTAATGTGCTCCTTGCATTCAAGTAACTCTTATATCGCGCTTCAATTGTTTTTTTAGTTTGTAATTAATTTTATATATTAATATATTAAAAATTAATATTTTCGGTTAATTTGTGGAGTTCTTGGGTTTATTTCAAAA